AAAAAACAAACAAAAAAAAAACCCCTGCCAAGTAAGCATTATTCAACATTTTTGATTTTCACTTGTGAATCATGTCAAACAGGCTGTTAGACGAGGCTGTTGAAGGACTTCATCTGCTGTCAGACAAGCTGCCACCTCCAGGTATGATTGGTCAAAACCACAGACTACACCATGCCCCCCCTCCCTCCCTCCCCGCCCCCCAGTGAGTAGTTGAACAGTCTGATGGCATGAGGGACAACAGAGTTCTTCAGTCTGTTGGGAAGTAGCAGTTTGTCACTGAACAGGCTCCTCTGGCKGCTGATGACGGTGTGCAGACAGTGACTGACATCCCATCGTTCATTATGTCCAGCTGTTTGTCAAGAGTTCTCTTTTCTGCCACTATCACCATAGAGTCCAGCTTCTTGTTGACCACAGAGCCAAACCCTGGACCAGTTTGTCCAGCCTGGATGTATCATCCTTGGATTTTGTGTTAAATTAATTATATTGATTAAAACGTTACTTCTGTCCTAATATGGCTTTTTAAATTAGGTAAAAACTATTGTCATTATTAAAACATAATTTTTCTTTGAGGTGTTTCTTAAAAATGCTTTGCATGTGACTTATTGAGATGTAGTCAAATTATCTGTATCATAAGCATCACAGTTTAGTGTCCTCGTATGGCAGCAAGTAGATTATTTTAGTACCGAACACTTTTTTTTTTTACTCAAAAGCTGGTAATAATTTAAATTAAATGTTTTTTCTCAACCTAAAATCCTTTTGTTGCTGTAATGCAGTCACAGCACACATCTTTCACAGATGCCCAAGAAGTCTCTGTGTTCAGCTGCCTTTAAATTCCTGAGTAGAAGCAGTGTGGAAAGACACAAACAAACCRAGACAAACTCATTGGATTGTCTTGTTTCTTCTTAGGTAAAGCCTTGCTGGATGTCCTGTTGTTGGCTTCTGCTGAGCAGTCCCCATCTGCTAAAGACCTGCTGCCAATACTGGGGGCTCTTAAACACATGGCCTGCTGGCACTCTGCGAAGATCACTGTAGTCACACCGCACACGGCTGGGTGAGAAGAAAACAATCACACTGTCATGGTTTAATACTGTACTACAAACATTAAAAGAAAAACGTATCTTTGATCAAATCCGTTGAATATTTTTAGATCATTTCACAACACTAATATTTAAGATTCTTTATCCTGTTTTAGCACGATACCCTTAAATGTTGTGAAGAAGCTGTTTATTGGTGTTGTTAGTATAGTAGTAACCGCAGTTCACCACTAGAGGGAGCTAGATAAGTGCTTATAAACAGGTGAGAGACAAGTTGGACCAGCATTCAGGCTAAGCCCACTCATTGACAGAATTCCAGCCAAATCCTTGGGAATAATCACAGCTGTGCTGATTTCACTGTTTAGCTGACACATTTACATTAATTAGGGCTCAGGGAAAATATGATGAGACTAGGGAGCAGTGTTGTATAAAGTACCACAAAGTGATACTTGAGTAAAAGTACAAGTATCTTACCAAAAAATTACTTTGGTAAAAGTTAAAGTCTCCTTTAGGAATATTGCTTGATTTAAAATGAGCAGTTAGATTTTCTGCAGTGACGTTTATTAGGAGGTGACCTCCCCAAAAAATGCAGAAATGACTATATTGTTTTAAAATAAATTATTTGTTAAATTTAGTGTGCACTAGTCTAGCTGTTTCAGTTTATGTATATATACATA